TCCTGGAATTATTGAAAATGAGCATCAACAGAACGAGCTGCACGAGCAATAATAATGATGTCATGAAATAATGCACAGCACATTTGAAAACATCAGCTTTAATAGTAAATTCAGCTTGTTTACATGATTTATTAAAAAGACGTCCACCTCTGGCGGCTGTTCTTTGTGCACATTCATCATACAACAAATCAGCCTGATCGAATATTATTAAACAAAGATGGATTCGGGTTCTCTGCATGATAAGAAAAACATTCAAATCTTGATGCTACAGCCCTAATGTAACACAGTAATCCAGCGTGATGTCATCATGGTGATGTCATCATGGTGATGTCATCATGGTGCAGTCGCTGCAGTCCTGAATGCAAAGGTGAGCAGCGAGGTTCTCCAGGCGTCAGATACTGTTTGTGTGCATATTAGAAAATAATGAGGAACACCTTTTGTCATTAATGCTGCAGTGATGTGAGAGTTTATTAATCCTGAGCTTCTATGCTGAGTAACACTGAGGAGATGATTAATGGCAGGAAACCTTCCTAACATGTGTAACTACTCATCGTGTGTCACCTGACGGGTCGACTCAGGTGTTTGCGCGCCTCTGTAAGCTGTTCGTCCACCCCTGAGCTCTCCTTCTTCAGCTCGGGATCCCGACGTCTTCCCAGGTCACATGAGCTATGGGACGAGCCAACAGACTGTACATAAAAGACAGCAGATCCTGTGACCTGCATTCTTTCTAATGACCAGCAGGGGGCAGTCGGCTCCAGGAAACACAAGCATCAGTCACTGATTTCAGGTTTAAGTTAACACAACGTTCAGAGTCAGGGGGCACGGGGAGGGGGGAGGGATTTAGGGGGGCGCATCTCTGCTTTAAAAACTCCAACATGGAGGCGGGAAACATTACAGTAACTGTGTCCGTCTTTTATCTACAGTTTATGGCTGAGTGCTGTGATGAGGTCTGAGCTCGATCGTGGATCTGGGCTTTTCTCCAGCTTCTAGCAGCTGACGGCGAGGCTGGATGTGTGGGCCAGTCAGACGCCTCCGTGATGGTGATGGAAAACAGTCGAACACTTCTGTGTATCCTACTACACATTTTCAGTTCTCGGGACCTTTGACTGACCCAGCAATGCACACGCCGACATTTCTGTCCCAGAGGTCAAAGGTTAGTCTGCTGCGTGTGTTGACTACATCTCTATGTTAACCGGGTGCTGGCAGGGGTCAGATGTTAGCCGCTGAAGCTCCTCCCTCCTCCTGAGAGCCTTCTCCTCCACCACCAACAGCTAACTCTACAAAAAGCAGACTTTCTCCTCACACGCTGACGGACTGCAGGATCAGGTTCCTGTCTTCTGATTGGCCAGCCAGCAGGGCACTTCTCCACACCTGGAAAAGCCGCATGCAAACTTCTGTGAATACGTGATGGGTGTGCTCCACGATGCAACCACAGAGCATCAAGCTGTGTTGATTTAAAAGGATCATTTACACAAATATGGAAGATTTGAAAACCTGAAGTCTTGGCTCTGTGAGGGGAAAAGTTTCTGAGAATACACCTGCACAGGTGCGTACCTCTCTCTCAGCGTCGGCTGGCTGCTCAGGAAGCTGAGCTGCTGCTCCAGACGACAAACCCTGAAGGCCAGATAGCAGGACGACAGGACCAGCAGGAAGACCCTGAGAGAGACAGACAGGTAACAAACAGCTGACACACCTGTGAAGAAGTGCAGTGAACCCGGAGGCTCCTCCTCCAATCGGCAGACAAAAGAACCGACTG